ATCAGCAGTAGCCACAAACTATGTGAGTTTTCTTTTAACTCTTCAATAAAACTTAATGGTCTGTTTTTTTCACAGCCTAGAACCACTGCATGGTGTTGCTTGCAAAAGGAAAGACAAAATGTGCCCTGAGTAGTTTAATTTAAAAAAGAAGAAAAAAAAGTGAGCAAGAATGTTTTTTTTATTGTCCTTTTGAGGTATGTATGCTGCTGTGCCCAGAAAATGCACTGAAATTATTGGCCTATACACCAACTGGGTTCAAAAATAGGGAATTAATACAACTTCTTGTGCACTGGAGTAATAATAGCAAAAAAAAAAAAGAAATGTTGTCTGAAGTTTCCTTTGTGGTCGTCTGTAAAAGAAGCAGCAATAAAATACTGAAAGTCCATGTTTCTGCTGTGAATAGGTGATATTTTAGATGATTTTAATGTGTAAGTAGTTTGCTTGCGCCAACCTTTTCAAAGCAAGATGTTTGCTTGTTTTAAAGCAGTCTACACTTTCAACTAAAACGCCTTCAACAATAAAAAGAGCTCCTTAAAGTAAAATTGTAAAACCAAATTTGTGATCTGTGAAGATCTTTGTATACAAGCTCCGAAAACTCACATTTGCTCTCAGGACAAAGACCTGTTAACAGATATTCTCTGGTCCAATGAGACAAAACCGTAACTCTGTGGCCAGAACTCCTTGGCATTCAAATGATACAACACCTAAGCTGCAGCATGGTGGTGGCAGCATCATGCACTGTGGGTCCACAGCAGGCACAGGAAGACAAGGCAGACATGAAAGAAGGATGAGTGAAGCCGGGTTCAGAGAGGTCCCTGAAGGAATGTCTGGCTAGTAGTCCAGCCAAATCTGAGACTTAAATCTCACAGAACACAAGTCCTATTCTACTGGGGCACAAAAGCGTCCATTGTGGCCTCAGCTAAAATTTGAATAACAAATATGCTGTTCGTACAATGGAGAGGGGTGAGTCGCTTTTTGAAACTGTACGTGAGTCAGCACTATGGTAACACCAAGTCATTTTGTTGTGGAACAGGACCTTTCAAAAACCATGTAGAGCAGTGGTCCCCAACCTTTTTTGCACCACGTAGAAAATTTTCTACAGACCAGTCATTGCATTGGTCTAGTGCAAGTTATTTATTCCATCTGATGGGGCAGAAGTGTGCAGGCGTTTCCGCTATCAGTAGCAGTGGCGACGGCGGGGGGGAATATTTGAAGATCAATATTGATATCCTGATTCCAGTGCAGCAAAACGAATGCAGAATGCCCTAATGCAGAAATAAAAATAAAGCATATGACCCAAGGCCCGGTACTGGTCCGGTGGTTAGGGACCACTGATGTGGAGACCTCAAAATGGCATTTCACAGACGCACGATGTTACGTTCCTGCTCAGCTTGGGTAAAGAAAGCAACATGAAACCAGCTATTTATGGTTTAGTAAAGGTATTTATTGCCAAGTAATTCAACAAATGAGCAAAATAGGGAAACCTACAAAAGAAAAAGGCCCCGAGGAAGCTGCTAAAAAGTTTCATAAGAAGGCTAGCTCCAATGCTCTGAGCTCTCTAAGCTCTCTTAACACATGGACAGCAACAATACAAACTTATATACACTTAGTTAGTGGTCAGCTTTGAGCGTCACTGATCTGTTGGATTGAGGAGCTGACAGAGAAGTCAGTTGGGGCAGAGATTGTTGCAGCTTTGCAAGAACACAGGACTGGATGACGTCCCGATCAATGCAGGTGACATTCAGAATCAGGCAAGCAAGATGAGCAGAAGTAACAATTCTGGTGAGGAGCCCACTTTGTACATATGTATATAATACAAAGTCAAAAAAGGGATCAGCCACAAGAGGTGGAAAACCACTATGGGCTTCACACTAGAGATAAATGATGAGTTAAAATCACCTCTTTTTAAAAATTATTGTATTTCAACTTTTCCATTTTGTATTTTCAGATTCATTTACAACATTTAACACTACAATCCTACAGTTCTACTATCTCATTGAGCAGACGCTTTTATCCAAAGCGACGTACATCTGAGAGCAGATACAACACAAGCAAGGATCTAGTCAGGAGAAAACAATCTAGATAAGTGTCATAGAACAAAGTCAAGTGTGATAGGGCGTCGATGCCAACAGCAGGCTGTGTGGGAGGTAGTAGGATTTTTTTTTTTTTTTTTTCGGGTTGTCAAGTGTAAAGGTGTTCAGTGAAGAGCTGGGTCTTTAGTTTTTTTCTATAAGACTGATTGTAAAAATACTGAAAACTGCTTTGAGTAATATCAACAAATCCCAGATCCCCACACTGATTACATGTCCCGTGAATAAAGGATAAAATGCATTTCAGTCATCAGCTGTTTGCTGGTTCGCTTAAATCAACCTGAGTAAAAGCGCTACAGAACAAAGTGGAACTATGGTTATTAAGGAAGTTTAGAACAGCTGTTAAGCTGATGGGAACTACTTTGCAGGGTCTCCACACAACCTCAACTACCAACTAATTAATAAAAAACATTAAAAAGAAGTTCAGGGCTTGGTGATCCAAACCTAAAACACACCACATGAAGCACCACAGACTTTTTTTAATGTAGTTTTTAGGCTTAGTTTAAGTCATTAATTAATGCTTTATGATATTTAAAAAGGAAAAGGAGAAAAAAAAAAGACAGACATTTTCAATACAGTGGTTGTTTATTAACTTTCAAACAAGTTCATATCCACTCTCATGGTGGTCATGGTCAATATAGTGGTTGTTGGTTAATTTCATACGAGTTTATACTCCTATAGTGGTTGACACTACACGCTACCATGGTTACCTGTGTGGTAAAGAGCTATAGATGTAGGAGCGATGACGATAATAATAGGTTCCAGTTTTCAGGCACTCGAGTGTTTGACATTGGTACAGCTTGAGGTTACTATATTCTTGTTAGTTTGTGAAAACATGCATTACTTAAAAAAAAAAAGCTTCTGTTAAAATGGAATGTGACATTATGACTTGATATGCATGAGAATGAGTAAAAGTACACAGAGAGTATATACTGTGAGCCAGAGTTAAAAGGTGCGTTGTTCCCTTCTGGTCAGTCTCGTCCTCTTCATATGCTCATGGTGACCTGGATAAACTGAGGGAGATAAAGATCACATGATTATGGTTAATGTACAACTCCGAATCACCGATCATCGAGCGCTCTTGTCTCGGCTCTGAGACATTTATTGCACCTTTTATCACAACTGTTGCGCTCTTCATATCTCTACTGACTAAATTGATTCAGTTTTCTAGGCCACTGTTAGATGCCATGCCTTTTCCCTATGTGACGGGAGGTTGTTTTAAGCACATAAATCCAACTGTACACAACTGATTGAGCACCAAGCATCAGGCAGACGCAGCTAGAAACGAGCTGGTGAACATAGATTTAGCAGCTAAAGAGCCAGATTTTCGTGTGAAGAAGTGGTGACATTATGCACAGTGTGTGGTTTCTACTGACAGTACGAGTGTTCTTTGTTGTTTAACATATTCACGGCAAGAGACGGAGAGACAGCATTAGTTAAACAACTGTAGATGCAGACTACAGCTCTGCAAGGTCACAAAAATAAATTATTTAAAACTTAATATTCTTGCAGAGTATTTTGAGATCCTTAAATATGATATTTACAGTGTGCATCACAAATGTGCATCATTTCATGTTACTTAAGATCTGCATCTATAATAATAATAATATAATAAACTTTATTTGTATAGCACTTTTAAGAACAAGATTGACAAAGTGCCTTTACAGAAAAAAAAAACAAGTATAAAAAGTACAGGCAACACTAAAAATACACACAATAAAAGTGGAAAACAACAGACTGGGTCACTATTGAAAGGTATACTAGTAAAACTGACTAAAAAGACGACATCACAGAGGGGAATAAAGATAAAAGCTGAAGATAAAAGTAGATTAAGAAAGAGAAAAGAGAGAAGGACAGCAGGTAGTACCAATAAAAAAAGGGAAAAGAAACAGGCGAAAATCTAAAAGAGAAATCAAAGAGAGCATCACTCAAAAGTGAGTCTATAAAAGTGGGTTTTAAGAAGTGATTTAAAAGAAGATACTGAATCTGCGAGCTTTGTTTCCTCAGGCAGGTCGTTCCAAAGCCGAGGGATCCTCACAGAAAAGGCCCAGTCGCCTTTGGAACAATGAGGAGGGACCCACCTGAGGATCTAAGGCTGCGTGTGGGGATATACGGGGTTAACATACCTAAAATATAGCCAAGGCCCTGGCTCACTTTAAAAGTGATCAGTAAAATCTTAAAATCAATTCTGACAGGGAGCCAGTGGAGAGAAGCCAGAAAAGGGGAGATGTGATGATCTGTGAGTTATTCGTTTCTACACGAGCTACAGTACGGCACTAAGACATCTGATTTACGCATTTAACAGCCATGTCTAATTTCTGCTTAGGAAATAATTAATTTATGACTGATCAGTAGCAGTCAATACAGAGTTGTTTAAATATTGTTTTAAAGCTACATCAAAGCTTTAGAAAATGAAAAAAGTAATCACTCAGTTGTGGAAACTTACATCATCATACTGAAATGTAGCGTTGCCAGAGTGGCTGGTGTCCCTCCTTCGGAACTGATCTGAAAACACACACACACATAATATTAAACAACTGTCTCCTAGATGAGTTGTGTTGTATAATTTCACAGCTCAGTTTGAGCAATCAGTTGATTATCTTTGCCTCTGTGTGATAGCGTGAGGCCGTAGAGCTTGTTTGTTGACTCGTGTGACTCATTAAACACCCTTAATCTTAAATGGTTTTATTAATCCTTTCTCTAAACCGTAAACAAATGTGTGGTCCAACTGATGATCTAAAAGTACAGGAAAGCTCCTCTGTCAAAAACATACACAGCTCAGCTACAGGTGACCCATCAGGAGGAGGTAAACCCGGTTGAACCAAACTGAATCAGCTTAATCCACCCACTCACCAGTCAGGGCCCGGAGTCTCACGCAACAGCTCACGAATTCATCAAACTGGATCCTGCCGTTGATGCTGTAGCGCTTCATGATGCAGTTCATGGCCTGAGGGCTCAGATTGTAGCCTGCACAAAAACATACATTATCTAATAGAGGACATTCATACTTTATACAGACAGCAGCTTCAAAGTGACTGTCAGCCTATAGAAAATCAATGGATTTCATTATTTGAAAACAGTTGAACACAAATATGTCGTCTATTTTGCAATTGTTGTTCTTAATTTTACACTTTTCTTTATTGTTGAGCCAATGAGCTTCCTTAAATACTATCTGTTCTGTGTTAGATTGGAGACATTTAGGAGAAACTACAAGTGTACATATATGAGAAAACTAAAATTTAAGCAATAGTCAAACGGCTATATGGTTATTAAAAGAGATAATCATTCTATCTGTTCATACTGGACATTATTAGGATGTTTTCTGCACCTCTAATATAAGTGATGAGGGAGAAAACCTGCAGTTCTCTCCATTTGTGTCTTTCGTCACTGAGCTGGACTGAAAAGTCTACAACTTAGGAAGACGTATTCTTGATTTAAACGATTAGTTTCAGATAATCATTGGAATGTGTTTTTGCACAGAACGAGGACTGCAGATTTGTACCCCATGGCACTGAAACTGATTGGGAACACGCCGCATCTCCATGGAACGAGTACAAAACGGAGGAAGGGCTACGGCAAGCAATCTGTTGGAATATTCAAATGGGCACATGACTATAGCCGAAGTTGCTTGTACCCATGGTGGAGATGGCCTGCTGCAGCTCGTGGCCCTCTACCGACCCACTGTGGTCACGGTCGTAAGAAGTGAAGGTCGCCTTCCAGCCGTTCAGGACCTGGGTTAACTCCTTGAACTCGTGGAAGCCCATGGTGCCGGTCATGTCCCTCTGAGATAGCGGTGTCGGTCAAGGACTCCTCACACACCTCTTTGGTTGAGAAAGGACCTCCCTTTAGAAATATTACTCATATGGCTCTATGTGTCTTCAGTAATGCCCCTCTATACTCACTTCATTGTTTATACTAACACTGTATAGTGTTACTGTAACTATAAACTTCTACTATAGTGCTTGTAGGCAACAGTCATAAAATGAACCTTACTGTTTTGCAGCTACACTAAGCTAAGCTCAATTCGACAAGAGGGAAGAAAAACCACTTTGCAAAAGGTATCTTCCTGTTTTCTACGTCTTTGTCGCTTGTCTTTTCTCCTGATGTGGACACTTTAGTTCCACAAACTACAGCACACAATGATATTTAAAACCACAGCGTGCTTCAGACTTGCAACAGTTGGTGTTTGGCCCGTTCCTGTTTCACAAAGCCCTGACCTCACTCCCATTCAACACCTTTGGCATGATGGTGTACGTCCAGTTGAATGTGTAAACTGTAGCAGGTGAGCTTAAGTGACATCCAATTGACCTTTGGTTTTTACAACTGACTTATCAAACGGAAATTTTAAGAAATCAAGTACACAATGTTGTACGTCATCAACAACTTCAATGATGTGACTTAATTGACAAGTGTCTCTAATGGCTGAAGGATACATCCAGCATGTTGATCATCAGTCTGCATGCCTCCAGGCTGAAGGCTGTGGAAGGAAACACAGACTGTAAATACTTCTGTTGGTAAAAAAAAAATCTAGCATGCAGTGATTGAGAACATGTAGCAGTCTCCAGAAGAATGACACCACCACTCCTGACTTGGATAGTCCAGAGTAAATATTGATATTATTCTGGTGCAAGATAGTTTAGTGATTTGAATTCAAACTGGTTCCCAGATGTAACCACAGTGACTGAGTTGTTAGTTTGACAACATAAATTCAGGGTCACAGCGAGAGTCGGAGGTGAAAGAACGTTAACGCAACAAGCTGCGTTCTGTTACACTCAGACTTTTGCTTTGTGTCGCCCCGCCAGCTCTCTCCCCAAGTTTCCTGCCTATCCAGGTGAATTCATGAACAGTTTTGAGTCATTAGCTGAGTGACAGGACAGCGATAAAAGACACTGAATATGTCTGGTAACACTTGAACTTCTACACGTGAGACTTTGCTTAATGTATAACGCAGAGATTATACATTAAGCAAAACAAATCAGAAACTGTTTGTTAACATCAGTGTGTTTACATTTTTAGTGTATAATTTCTAGAAACCGTCTTACGTTTGTATGATCCAGACATGCCAGACTGTGTGAGGCACTGCTGGAGCTCGTCTGCTGAGATCTGTCCATCCTGCCAGGGTTCAAGAAAACAGAAGGAAGTGAAACACAATATAAAGTCAGATAACGGTTGCACAAAGGTTTAGAGAACCATCAATGCTGCAATGTTGACTGGCACTGCGGTTCACATATTCAGGCATGCCTGTAGATTAGGCCCAACGATAGTGATTTATTCACTTGTCGCTTGAATGTCTGAGTCTTACCTGTCCAGCAACTGCTGAAAAATATCCATAGAGAGGATCCTGCTGTGGCTGAGAGGGTCAGAGAAAGAAGATGTTAAGTCTGTTGGCCTGCCGTAAAAATCACTGTTAAAGTGCAAATGCAGAAATATAAACACCAATGAAGCATTACTTCAAACAAAACCTACAGAGACAACCAGGGCTGCAACGAATGATTAGTTTCATGGATTATTCTGCAGGTCATTTCTCCGTTAATTCGTATTTTTTTCATAAAATGTTGTGAACAGTAAAATAAATAAATTTTAAAATTCCCTGTGATAACTTCTAAGGTCCTAATGTCATTAATCATTTACATTATTTAATATAAAATCCAAAAATATATCTATTATTCATGATAAAACAACAACAAAACAAAATCCTCATCTTTGGGAAAACTGAAGCACCAAATGTCAAACATTGAAACAACCAACTGACAAATAGTCAGACATATCATCTGCCCTTCAAGTAAATGATTATCTAATCACTTTAGCTGTAAAGATGACACACCTAAATGAGGACTATACCAATTCAGGACAGGACACAAACTCAACCATGACTTCAGGTTCAGTTAAAGATTTCCAACAGGCTTCCAGAGGGAGCTTTAATGAAACAACATAATTCAAAAAACCCATTTGGCTTGTCGTTGCACATACTGTTGACCACTGGAAAGACTTGTAAGGATTCGACTGATTATCTGTGTGTGTGTGTGTGTGTGTGTGCTTCTTAAGCCTTACAAAGAAGATAACCCACCCTGACCCACCCTCCTCACCCCGAAACTCCCTGTAATGTCACCATAATTCACTCTCTAACACCTTGTGCAAACACTATAGATTACCTCAAAGCTGAAAATTGCCCAAGATATCTGGTTAGAAGAGCTACAAGAGTCAGTTGAAGGCTTTAGGGCAGGGGTGGGCAATCCTGGTCCTCGAAGGCCACAGTCCTGCATGTTTTAGATGTTTCCCTCTTCCAACACACCTGATTCAAATGATCCGCTCATCATCAAGCTCTGCAGAAGCCTGATAGCGATCCTGATCATTTGAATCAGGTGTGTTGGAAGAGGGAAACATCTGAAACATGCAGGATTGTGGCCCTCGAGGACCAGGATTAGACAGCCCTGCTTTAGGGCATACAATATTTATAGAAATGTCATCAAATTTATTATGTAATTCTATTTCTGTACACTAATTGCATTTGACTAATTTGAAAATATACAGCAATACTTTAATAGTAGAAAACCTGGCTCAGTGTTGGAACATAACTGTGTGCATTTAGGTTGCAATATTCAAAAGAAAATCCTTGCATTATGAATGAATGAATGAATGAATGAATGCCCTTCATTGTCAGTTACTGTCATTATACAGTGTATGCTTCCCTGTGTCTACTTTATGCAACTTTATCTTACAACTCAAAAGGAAAATATTGCACTTTTTACCCCATTGCATAGATTTTACAGCTTTATTGGTTTAGATTTCCCAAATAATCCCATCATCAATGTATAAATATGACACTTTAATACAGACAGAACTACTCAAAGTGACAACATTTAGTGGAAATTAGCACCTATTGTTGTATTCTACTGAAAGATTGTTGTATATGTGAACATGTTTATGGTGTTTGACTGCAAAAGACTTAATGCAGGACTTTTACTAGTCGTGGTGGTAAAGCTAGTTTGACACGAGAACATTATATGTCTACTACTTTCACTACCTCTCGGGGTGAAAAAGTCGCCGTTATAATGTGCATTGACAAACAACACTCCTGCTGCTGATAGTTAGCTTACAGTTAGCTTCTAGCTGCTGATTTCAGATGGAAACTGTTATACGCCCACGGGGTTGCCTGTTTGACAGCTAAACACCTCGATTTCAGCGAACTCGTCCAACTTCCGCACTGTTTGTACAGAAAGTCCATCCCGGGACTGCGGTCGTCGGTGGACATGTCGAGGTTTTTAATCGATATTTCATCACATTTTAACGGTTTCTTACCATTCCTGGGAATCCACCGGGAGGAGCACCGTATCCTTGATAGGCCATTTTATTTTTCTTGCTAACTCAATTTAAAAAAACAGGAATTCTATTGTAACTCTATACCCTCCGTAACCCCAGAGGGCGTGTCTGTTAATGTATACAAACGACAAAAGAGGTAAAAAAAAAAAAAAAAACTGAGATTAGAACGTGCTGCAGATTAGCCCGAAGCACCGAAGTTGCTCTAAATGTGCATAAAGGTGCAGAAAAGCAACAGATGAACGTGAACCAAAAGCCCTTGATGTAAACCTTGGGGATGGTTGTTAAACGTTTCGTTTCCTGACTGCGAGCCAGTCCAGCTGGATTCTGATTGGCGGAAAGCAGCCACGTGATTTGTAACCCACCAATCAGATCAAACGCGGGCTATAAAACTAAAAGCTTTGCGCAATAAAATAATAAAGCGTGTAATGAATAACAGGGATGAAATATTCAGGATGTTACACGTGGTTTCCATATATTTTTTAATTCGGAAGACAAAGCTGGTATGATTTTTGACTCATTTGGGTGCTATTTTTAATCTAATAAATATCTGTGTTGCAAAAGTAGGCCTCAAGCCAGACTTTTTTTTTTTTAATTAAAAACATTAGTGAGCTACCAGATTCAAGACAAGTCCAACTAGTTTAACTTATATACCCCAAAACTCACATATCACATATTTGATTGAAAAGCCTTCAAGGTTTTAAAGATGTCCTCTATTCTTATTCAACTACGCAGTGTGTGACGCAAAAAAATCAGAATATTCATTGTAATTACACAATTTATTACGTAAATGTGAGGATTTTAATAGCTTTAAATGCTGTTAGAACAATTTGCATTAATTTGCAGGTCTGTATTTACTCTACTTATGATTAGTTAACCCTCTGATTATGTTCGAATTTACTGACATCTTTTATCCTTGGGTTCAATTTGACCCCAGCGATTTAAACCTCCAGATAATAATCATAATTAAAATTGTTTTCCAAGTTTATGTGTAAACAGTCTTTTAAATAAAACTGAAAAATTATGTCAATCACTTATTTCGAGACATTAAACATTGAATATGGTCAAATTGATCCCAAAGATAATAGGAGGGTTAAGAAACACAAAATACAAATTTTCCTTTAAACATTTTTGAATATGTCTGCCCTTCTTTAGCAGACAGCCAATTGTGTCTATTTAGAGTATAAAGATCAACTTAAAGAGAAAATACTGCTCAAGAAGTATTTTAGCTAACAGGTTTGACAAAACTAAAATCAAACTTGTTGTTTCTGAGAGTTTACCAAGTTCAAGGTAGTTTGTTAAAGTAGATTTTACTTGCTGGATGTCATAAAAAATGGAACTCAGTGGCAATTGTAGAAGTGAGGAAAAAAACACACATAACACAGGAATGATCCTTTAACGGAAGGCATTACATCACTCCCTAAGACAAGATGCCCAATCAGCTCGTTTTCTCAAGTGAGACAAGTGAGTCACTCCTTCTGCGTCCAACCGTGGTCCAGAGAAAACCCAATTAGAGGCTCCATCTTCAGTTTGAGAGACAGAGCTGAAAGCGGCGGCAAGGCATTGAGACAGTCCATTTCATCCCCCTCACCACATACACAATCGTGGAGGGACAAGAAGCTCTGGCTGGGATGTACAGGCTGAATCGTGACTGTTGGGTTTGGTCGCCCAGACCTCCGGTGTGTCTCCATCCTCAGCATTCGGGAAGCCTTGCTCTGGCCGTGTTAAATCAGCAGGAGGAAGCGGAGGAAGAGGGAGGAGAACATCCTGCTGTGTGCTGCTACACTACAAGTAGGTTTGTGATAAGATAAGATTTTATCAATTTAAACAGCAGAATTTAATATAAACAAAAACAAAAAAATGCTTTAACAGACAACTACAAAACAAAATAGGCAATAGCACGATTAAGAAGAACAATAAGTCAGATATAGCCAACTTGTTCCGCTTCTGCTGGCATATAATGTGTTGTAATTTTGACATAAGACAGAACTTCATTATGCCAAAGAAAATCTTCCTAGAAGGTATGATACTGGATAAACAATAAAATATAGAGGATAAAAGATAAACAGAAGTATGAAAGGTATATAAGTGTATTTTCATAATTAATATGTGAAAAACTGAACAAACACATTTGCCTGTGATGCCACTTTACAAAGACAGAAATATAAAGGAGAAAAGAGAACACTGCACACATTTTAAAGATGGTTGATCATACAGATTTGAGAAGTGAATTGTGCATGTTATGTACATCTGTGCCCAGCTACCGTATACTGTGCTTTGAAGGTCACTATTCCAAATTAAAACAACTTGTACAATAATCCAGTCATTACTTTGTGCCATATGGAAACGGTAGGTTGGCCCAAAACGGCAAGAGCAACATAAAATAGTTTTCACCTCAAATTTAAAATAATCAAATTCTACAGCTTGTTAACTCTTGATATGAGCTCACAAATATGCCCTCACACTCCTTTGCACTACATAACTAGTACGAATTAGAAAACCATTACAACAACTCTGACATTACCTTCTTCTGGATTTGTTCAATTTTAGATATGTGTGTTATTATTTTTGAGGCTGTTTACATGCTTGTGTGGATGTTGTTTGTTTGTACCTTGGACACCCCACACGTCCTTGATATGTGTGCATGTGTGTTGTGTGTGTGTGTATTCGCGCCAACATATGCTGATGGCTGGTGACCAAATTTTTTTTCCCTCCAAACTCAGCAGGCTTTCATCAGTAGGTGCAGGAAACAGACGGCTCAGACATATGATTCAGCCATGACGTGCAAATCTAAGCCAACCCCTTGCATTAACCAGCCATTCACGCTTGGGTTGTCAACAGAATTACAGGATGTGTTTTTTGAAGCACTGAATTCATTTAAAAGGAGTCGAGGCACCATGTGTCCAGATTGACCTTTGCCATTGCCTGACCACGATAACCTTGTTCCTCATCTTTATCTCCAGGTTGTGATGACATTATTAGTCAGGCTGCTGATGCTCACTGGTCCACCTGTGAAACTCCAGCCCACTCAGGAATCCCCAGTAACTCAGGCCTCGGTCCTCCATCACAGCAGCCAGTAACAGTGATTGGAGGCGAACAGGGAGAAGTATTGCTGCATTTCATTGATGATCATTGCTGGGAGGGTCCAAGGATGGAAACCCAGGGATGTGTGTGTGTTTATGGACAGAGGGAACCAGAAGGTTTTGGTCCCTGCTGGCCTGGATCTCCATTCATGTACTACGGAGGTGGTGAGTATGCAGTATATAGTATGCTTCCTGTTGTCGAAGCAGCATATTTTGTGTCTTTTGCTCTTTTCTTCTAGTATTTACACAATATTGTCTCTTTAAACTGTTGAAAGATTTGATTGTTCTTTAGAGTACTGAATTCCTATGTTCCATCAAGGCTTTTGTAGCTGAGTGTTCTACTGGCATCAAATTCACTCCACTCAAAGTTGGAATTTAATGAATCAAGATACATATACAAATACACATTGAGTGCATTCAGTAAATGTTTTATTTCCACTGTTCTCTGTCTGGTTTGGGGATGGAACTAATTTTTGCTCAGGGATGAGAAAATAAGTTTCACATGTTTTCATATAGTCTGTTCTGGAAGGACCAGATGATGAACTGAAGTATTTTGTCAGGCTCTGGTAGAAATGAAAATAAAACCTGCAACCAGACACTGCAGAGAAAAAGTATATTTATACCAAAATAAATGACTAAAATGCTTACAGAGGAGCAACCAGAAAAACCATCACATGGTTAATGTGTGTCTCCTCCTGCTTTGGACCTTTGCCATTAAATGTTCCATCATTATAGGAAATTTGTACCTCATGTTCATGTGAATGTGAAAGAAAAACAAATATATCATAGGGTCCCAAATGTATATGCCTATTTAACTATTTCATGTAATTAAACTGTAACTTAGCTTAGAATGTAATCAAAGCTGTCAGATGAACACAGTGGAGTTAAAAAGTGAAATTTTCCTTCCTAAATAAATCTGAGATGAATGAGCCAAAATAAAAAGCTTCACAAAAATATAATGCTACCCCAAATATGAGCTTCACTACATGACTTGAGTAAATGTACCTGACATGTAACACTCCACCACTGGCACCTGCATCCTGAAAGTTTGGCCCTGTGTGTTATGAAGATGTTTGTTTGTCCATTCTGTCTCTCTGGCTTGACTCACGAAACTGGATTCAGGATATAAATTTTTGGGTACAATGTAGATGGCAAAGTCAGAAGTTATGGTGAAAAATAAAAAAAATAGACAAAACCCTAAAAAATAGCAATAGCATTGTTGTGAAGGGCAAATGCCAGCCACTAAATTTTTGTATTTGATTCATGCAGTGAGGAGCAACATGGTGGTTGGAGTGGAGGTGGTGGAAGAGGTTGCTGTTGAAGACACTCTAGAAGTCATGTAAGTCCTGTATTAGTTATTACATTAATGGTAATCAGCAGACGTTTGATATTTCTGACATCTACTGACATGTTTTTGCCTGACAAAGAATTACAAGACTTTACGTGCATGTCGATTTAAAAAGATGGTTGTTGTTGTCTTTTCTTTTTTTCAGTACAGGGGACATATATGCAGATGATCTGCTGGATCCAGAGGTTTTGCAGGACAACCAGCTGTACCCCACATGAAATCTGATGGACTTTCATCCTGTCATTGGTTTCACTGTGTGCACTACAAACAATGATTTTACTCAGATATTTGTCACATTTTTTGACCTCTGCCATTGCGTGGCCACAATAACCCTGTTCCTCATCTTTGTATGTATGTCTTTGACACAAAAACCCTGTCATTTGTGATCAATAAAAGTAAGTTATGACTTGTTTAATTGTTTTCATTCTAATAATATAATATAATATAAGCTCCAGCCCCCCGCGACCCAAATGAGGATTAAGCGGTGTATAGATAATGGATGGATGGATAATTATCACTGAAGGACTACAACTACCGGCATGCATCGTTCCTTTAGCGCCCTCTCGGTGACGTCATCACACCGCGCAGTTGGAATCAGTTGGTGCATTGCGTTTAAAAAAATGATGATTTCGGTGCAGAATATTTGTTGATTTGGATGTAAAATCCCAAAATGTCGGAGTCTGAAGAAACACTAACTCTCCAGGATCGCCTGGACCGTCTGCAGGAGCTTACGGAATTCACGGAAAGATGCAAAAAGCAGATAAACGACATCTTTGAGACGCTGGGATGGTCGCCGGACGACAAGGAGCCCAACCAGGTAGCTAACAGTAGCTAGCGTTTGTTTAGCTAGCGTTTGCGTTCAGCCTTCAGTCAAAATGAAACTCGCGAAAGTATGTCCAGGTTTTTTTGTGACAAAGGAACAATATCACATTGAAATATGCCAACTTCCAGGTTATGAGGTAGTTGGTGCTGCTACGTGAAACTAGTTAGGTCTAATGCAACAGCCACTAAACAAATGATACCCTCATAAAATAATATAATGTTAAGTTTTCATTTGGACCCATTTTGAAGACTTAATAGTTGTGGTGTGGTTTAACTATTACTAATATCACAGTTAAAGCTGTTTCTAATCACTTTCTCATCCGTTTATATAAACAGAGGTACAGTAAATAAACAACACCTCACAGTCAGTTTAATAGTAGTCAAATTGCAACCTCTAAATGGCCATAAAGGTAAATCAATATCTCTTTAAAACAATTTTAACTATATCTGAACATTATAATCTCCTTAAAGGTAGGATTTCTTTTGCTGCCCGATTAGACAGGACTTTGTTACGCCTAGTTGTATATAATAAACTGAGTATGTATTTGTAGTGCAGACAGATGTATAGAGAATAACAGTGTGTGCCATTGTGCGAAAAAAAACATCACCTAATTGTATAATAAGTGTTGAATTCACATCACATGCTTTCTTTCATCCACCATCTATACACCACTTAATCCGACTAGGGTCATGAGGGGCTGGAGTCTATCCCAGTCGACTCAAAGTGAATGCAGGGGAGACCCCGGACAGGTCACCAGTCTATCACAAGCACACTCACATTCACACCTACAGACAATTTAGAATTACCAATTAGCCTCAACATGTTTTTGGACTGAGGGAGGGAGCCGGAGAACCTGGAGAGAACCCACACTGCACGGGGAGAACATGCAAACTCCACGCAGAAAGATCATGGGTGTCCCTACCGCGATGCAAACCGATGACACAAACCACCGAGCCACCTTGCAGCCCCACATGCTTACTTGATTTTTTAAATTTAATTTTTTTGGTGCGTTCTCAGGAACCAATGGAGCAGTGCCCCTATGACCCTGGCCACAGAGTCCCGGTCAGGACCATGGAGAAACACAAGGCCTCCTGCAAGCTCCGAAAGATGGGCTACTCAGCTGAGGAGCAGGTAACACACAGTGGCTACAAACACATGGGTGCAATAGCGTGAATGTTCTGGGCACATCTCACATTTTCAGTAAAATTGCTGCCGATAGTACCAGCAAGAACGACAGCAAAATGGTAACAAGGCAGTAACATACAAAAGATTCATGCTGTTACGTGACCGACCACTGTAACGTAAAAACCATGAACTTCCGTGCAAATGTAAAGTTTTAAAACTGTTTTGCAGGCCGAGATGTTCGACCCCTCTGTGTGCTATGAGAACAGCAGCGTGAGAAGCTTTGTAATGGGTGAGTCAATACTGATGATTTTTAGTCACCACCGTCATTTGTTATATCCAATGTTCAGTTAGCTCAGGTCAAAGGATTTCAAGGCGCACAAGTTTTATTAATGCAGTATCTAAAGACAGGGTAGAAAACTGTAAAACCTCAAATATTCATTATTTAAAAAAAAAAAAGAAGAGTTTAGTTTCTTTATCCATCCACCAACTTATTGTTCCACCTGTCATCGTGTGCTGACTGACTCTGGACCCACAATATTCACCAAAGTTTCCCATCTAGCGCACACACCAAACAATCTTTTAAGACATTTGTAATGTAAAGTAATGTCTTTTTAAAGCTAAGTAAGTTTTTAACAGTTGATAGATTTTCCAGTTGTCCTCTGTTCATGCAGACAAATCCACCCAGCACCAGGTGATCCTGAAGGCGAGATCGGCTGCACCCATGATGAGAATGGAAGGAGTCTTCTGGCAAGGTATTAGCTCACTTTATAACGTTTACTGCAAAACAGTTTGGCCATTGTGCTCTTGTTTACCACCCTGACACAAGACGTAGCATTCAGTAGAAACAGAGCTGCACAGTGAAATGTTCAGAGATTAAACTCACACTCTGAGGGCCGCCACTAGATGTCACTAGTGGAAAGTCTTGTGTTGAACTGATGCTAAGCTTTTTTTGGGCCTTCTCAACCTACATCTGCCTCCATTTCCCCCAAATATTGTTCTCAGTAAAAGAGAAGCTTTTATGAGTTTAAGATATTTTTTATTATTTGGAATTTTTCTCTTTCATTTGATGTATTTTTTCTGCGTGTGTGTGTAATCGGTGTGTTGTGTGCTTTGTTTGCAGCAACAGGGGTGAGTATTAGAGAGGAGATGGGCTCTAGAAAGTTCTGCTGCTCTGGTTCAGGCTTGCCTGATTACGTGCAGTATCCTTTAACATCATATCCTTTCAAACCACAAGGCTGGGCTGCGGGACTCGCATGCGCTCACACATACACACAGTTTTCCCTTTACGTGTGGGGAAAGTCCAGTTCATACATTCCGATTTCTCATTTAGCTTTCACTGAATGTACAAAATATTTATGTCAGTCCCTCCTTCCATGAAGTCATCTTCTGAAATGATTCCTGCTAAGAGTCACGCTGACCCTCAGTAGGCTGATTCTGATCATAGTGAAGAAGATACAGCTGCTAAAGTTGTAGCTGAGTTAGAAAAGGAGCTTAGATAATATGTTGTACTTTTTACAGCAACTGAAAAGAAACTCAGCAGCTGCATGTTTGCAAAAAAAAAGGAATTTATTAAGCTTGTCCTCCTGTCATCTTGAAGACAGATCTGCTAGGTAGTGTCTAACATAGACGTAAAGTTAATTGAGCATCAGTCTTACTTTAAAAAAGTTTTCTTTATCTGTTGACTCACTTGCTTGATTTTGACAAGTTTAGACGACACAATATCAGCGTGACGATAGCTTGACCGAAAGACGTAGACAAAAACATTGTGCAGCGTAAACCTGGTGTACAACAGGTCATTTGTTGTGCTCATTACATTCTTAGGATGTAAATATTAACAATAGGAGGGTTTTTTTTTTATTTACCTGTTTGGTTATAGCTGTTTTTTTTTCTTTCTCTTTGTGTGGAGTCGGTGATGACTTTGGTCTTGATTAGTTTGTGACAGTTTCAAATGGTAATGTCACTTCACTAGAGCCATTTACCATCTAAAACAACTAAACCAACTTTTTCTAATTACACATAATCTAACTTTGGTTGAATTAAAGAGCTAGTTTGCAGTTTAGTCCAAGGATTAAAACACACTCTTTCTGGGATTCCCAGTTTGGGATCTGATGAGGAACTTTGTGGAGATGATCAATAACTATTGAACTCCTATTGTGGAGAAAATGTTCTGTTGTGTAATAAGCTAAATGAAAAACAGTATGTAAAGGTGGCGTGTGGGTATTTTCTCCCTCAGTGACTTCTCGGTGCGTAAAACTTCTGTGGTTCTCCATCAGGTCAGTACTCCGGTCAGCCCGTCGACGTACCTCAGAACCACAAGCGAGCCATTTGTGACCTCACTGTTGCCGACCGATTGGCTCTGTACGATCACGTGATCAGCGTCAATCAACAGAAGGAAGCGGCCGCCTCCAGCAACGAGGATCTCTATGTAGATTTGGTGTCCAAACTTCAGAAGGGTAAGAGTCGCTCAGTGTGGTGAACACCTCCCAAATATCGAGACAATATGATCACCAGTACGCAGAAAACAGACTATACAGGCTGGTGGTGTGGTTAAGGGACAGGACCGCAAATATCTTGTGGTTGTACACTCATTTGAATTTAAAAAATGCTTGAGGTTGGCTTTTTTTATATGTTTAAACAGTTGTTTTCTCCTTCAGTGCAGTCGTTTGGTAAAATGCGTGTGTTTGTGTGCAGATGAAGAACAAAACGAACCAAAGACTCACCTGGAGCTGATGGCAGAGATGAGAGACTACAAGAGACGGCGTCAGTCCTACCGAGCCAAGAATGTTCACATCACTAAGAAATCCTACACTGAGGTAAATCATTAGCTGCTGCTCTTTTACTCACTTGAATCATTTACTGTCTACATTTTGTCTACTCTGATTATCGGTATAAGGTTTCTTTTTTTTATTAGACAATGAGTATTTTTGTTTTATCCTTTGACATGTTTCGACTGTCACTTCAGTGTCCCTCAGAAACGTCACTGAAAAAGAAACCTTATACCTATGAATCATTTACTTTTCGATAAAATTCAACATGACCCCTTTTTTTATTTGTACCTTGCCCGATAGTTTAAATTTAGGTGTGCATGAACTTGCAGTGACAAACAGCATTTGAGGGCCCCTGTGCTGGGCTTACAGTGTAGCACAAAGTCCCTCTCCTCCCATGTTCCCAAATTTCGATGGAAGTATCAACAAATTCAGTCATCAATCATTTAAAATAATAACAAATGTCGTAGTAAAATGGTAAACTACTGAGATGAAGTTTGGAGAGGTTTCTTCATGCATAAATAAAATAATTTCTGATCTGTTGGAAAGCTCTGTGTCTTCAGTTGCAGTGTCTGTTTAGGCGTCAATTCACCTTCTGGAAGACCTTTAATCAGTCTGCTGTCTTTAACTATGTTTTCGAGATTTGAAGGAGGAAAGTCATAACATATCTTCCCGTGCTAGAAGTTTTGGAGGGCCAAAAAAAATGGCACTTGTTGCTGTTTTTATGTGTAACTGAAAATCTGATACCGACTCAAGTCCATTGGTCCTTCTATTTGAAGCAAGGTTAAGAAATGAACTGATAATCACTGTGATCATCCTGCAGGTGATCAGAGAGGTGATCAACGTCCACTCAGAGGAACTTGCCAGACAGTGGAAAGAGGAAGAGGAAGAGGAAGAGCCAACGAGATCCGAACACTCCTCACACAAGTACATAAGAGAGTCCTGATGATCAGTTTTCTGTATTGTTGTTGATTAAGATAAATCATTGCAATAAACGAGGTGAGCTCTGGATCAGAGTTGATGGGCTAAATATTGGTTTTTATCTTTAAGGCGTTCGGTGGAAGAAAGACGGTCAGCATCCTCAGAGTCTCACCACTCCCGCAACAGACGCCATCGTAGTCGGGAACGAAGCCGCGACAGAGAAGGCAAGAAGAAGAAGAAGAAGAGAGAGAGGTGAGAAAAGACTCATTTAACATTCGGGTTTACCTCGTCAGTTTATTGGATGTTCATGACAAGTCACTGTTAAACATATGAGTGTTTGTGTTTGTGCGTATATTTTACACTTGTATCTTGTTGTGATTCTTACATAACAACCACACTGAAACAACCATTAGTCAAATTTTAATGACTGAAAATGTCACGTTTCTTGAAAATGTGGATGTTGTGGGGCCAATTTCGACTTTGGATCTTTGCAGGGATTCCCGTTCCCCCGATAGCCACCACCACGACCGAAAGAAAAAGAAAAAGAAGAAAGAGGAGCGGGAGAAGGAGAAGTGAGAGCTCTGGATCAGCAACAACAGAAGTCAGATCAGATGAGGTCGATGTTCATCGTGGCCTTCCAAGGACGACAGGTTTCATGACGTTTCAAGTTTACATGCTGAGTTTAAAATGAACTTAAGGAAGATATAAATGGTAATAAAGTTTTTGGAACCAACGACACACATTAGTTTCTTGCTGTTTTTGCATAATCACAATTGTCTGTCATGTCTCCATGCTGCTGCTCTTCATTTCAGGGTTTTACAGTGAAACTACGCATCTCCTAATCTTGAGTGGGCCACACCTGCCTCTGCCTGATTGGCTTGAAATGATTTTTTTTCTACTTGACGATTATTTGGAATGTTGGACAAGAGTGTCATAACTGGCACAGCTTCACCACGGGGTCAGAGGTCACCTTTTTTTGGACTTAATTTTGCTCCGTGTTTGTGAACGTTTGCACAAATCCCCTGCAGTTCTTGAGAAAATCCCCAAAAAGTGGGTTTTGAGGATCTGAAATTGTTTCAGAAAAATTAGATTTTTCATTGTGTAATCATTTTGAGGAAGTAAAGAATTCTCAAAGTGTGTATTTTAAAGCTACATAAAACAGTTCACACTTACAGCAAGTTAAAAACGAAACCACCAAAAGCTAGTTTTGCAATTTGTGTAACTCCAAACTAAAAACTATAGAAAGTCACAAGATTTGTAGCCCCTAAATGTGTGTATTTTGGGATGAGCGCTGAGAAATATTCATCAAAGTAAGTGTTTAGGTAATGGAGTCTTAATTGGAGTTCTGAATTGCAAATTTTCTGCATATGACTCGTGTTTTTAGTGTAAAGATTTCAGAGATTTCTCAGTTTATGTGGCAGATTTCTTTGACTTAATTTCATGATACATGCACCAGAATAAACAAAATCTTATTTCCAGTTGGTTAGGCTTTAATTTAAACCGAATTAACTTGTTAAGAACAAATGCTTTATATTTTTCACTTGAAATTATGCAGTCTGTGTGTACTGTGAATGCGGTATAAGTGACACCTTGGTTTTTCTCTGCTCATGCCGGATTCTGGCTCAGGTATTTCTCACCCTGTTGAGAAGCAGAGATAGAGGACGAGAAGAACAAAAAAAAAGACGGCGAGGATCCCGTCAGTGCCTGGGAACCTGAGGGATCCCAGAGAGGAGGCAGAGAGGACAGGGAGAGCCATCTGAGTGATAATGCTGTGAGAGAAACTGCTCAGGGAAAGCTAAATCAGGTTGGTTTTTGTCCTAATCTCTGTCCTGAAAGCGTCCTGTGCAGGATCTGGTCTCAGTAGAGGGGACTCACTGTGTAGCACCATGGGAACGTCCAGGGATAAGGTAAGAGGACGTGGTCTGGGTCTGACCAGGGGCCTTGTTGGGTTTGGTTTTATCTCCTTGAGAGGGTCACATCATTTGGATTACCTGGGAATACATTTATATAATTTGTTGAACAGGAGAGAAAGGGTTTGTGGACTTTTTGTACGGACAGTATGAATAAAACTGTTACAAAATAGGTTTGTTGTAGTTTATATCAGTGTGAAACCCTGCAGGTTACAGTAGCTGACCGGGTTTATCTTTGATCAGTGTAGAGTGGATGGATGTTTAGCAGGGGCTGTGAAGGCCAGGTTTTAGTTTCAGGGTCTATCGTCTGCTCAGTCTGTCAGTGTGCAGACTTTGTGTGTTTTCTTGTTTGAGTTGGTGTCGTAAGCAGCAAGATTAGAGGTGTCATTGTGCATAAATAACCCAAAATCTAATCTAGCTATTATTAATATACATAATCTGTGCAAGTCATAGGTTA